GGATAGTCTAAACAATGCTATTCAACTGACTTCAGGTCGACAGGCATATTTCACAAGTTTCCATTGTTATATACCCTATGTAAAAGTGGTATGACAAGTCATGTTATATTTTAAGACGTGAAGTTATTGATATGGGTAAGCTTCTAACTAAGTACCCCAGGGAACCCTATGTTAGAAATATATATTTCCAGTTGAAGAAAGATTATAAAAAATTAGTTAAACGCAAAAAAAGGGATTATAAAGAGGAACTTCTAAATAAAATTATAGAAGTTGAGAAAAATTATCTTGAGGAATTTTGGAATACAATCAAGGAGTTAAAAACTAATAGTGCATTGCCCTCCAATAGTGATATCAGTAATAGTATTTGTGTAGAAGAATGGGTGAAACATTTCTCAAATCAAAATGTTAAGTACTGCAATGACAGCTCATTAGATACAGAAATAAAAGAGTTGGAAAATAATGCAACTAACAATGAATTAAGGTAGCGGGACTATTATTTGCATACTTTTTTTCATCTTCTAATTGGGACCAAACGACTACAAATAGACCCAGGAAAGTATATATTTTTGGAATCGCCAGACTTCAAGCTTTTCAAAGGTGTGTTTGTCATGTTCGTATCTGCATTCTACGGTGCGCTACTTAATCAAAAGTGAAAAATTACTTTTTTTGTAAAAAAAATAATTACGCATTTATGCTGGTGATAATAAGTTTTGTTTTCACTTTTCCTAGTTGTTCAATAGTCTGGTAAATTGAATGTGTCTGATCTGCTGAATTTTAATTTCTGTTTTAGTCGCATTGACCCCAACTCAAACCACAACACATTGGTAAATAATCCATGAAATAGTTTGTCTGGACACATTCAAGTTCCTCTCATTGTCACCTTAAAACTGTGAAAATTTGGTGTTAATCCAACGACAATAAGTATACGTTATTTTTTGTTAAAGACCTTGTATTTTGAACATATAACTTTTTTTAAAACAATTGGTCACATGGTTTGTCCACCATCTTGGATTTAGCTAAACCTGGAAGTGCTAACATGCTTATACTTAGGAGGGTCTAGATTTTTTTGTGTGTATTATCATCATAAAAAATCTTTAGCGGTCATATGACTTTTTTCGAAAAAGAGGCTAAATAGGCTATTAAAGCTTGATGCAATACATGATGCTATGTCATGATATAATGGCAAAAACAAATCAAAAATTACCAACAGTTCATCATTTTCTCAAAAATACTTTTTACCAAGTGCTTTAACATAGACATGCACCTAAAGTTGTTTGCTTTCACTTGTGATCTTTGTTTTTCTTTGTGAGCAAAAAAATACCTTGTTGAAAAAAATTAACAGGTACTATGTGATTTTCAATGACTCATCTATCTTAAATTCTACTCTTTAACATAGATCAAGTCTGAAGAAGATAGAAGAACTTATGATGAGGAATCTAAATGCAGCATCACGACTCATACCTTCGGACCACACGCAGCTTTTGGAAGAAAGCCTATAAACCAATCCATGAAAGATTTCTGTAATGTGTGCCACATTTAGGATGAAATATCAATACTTATTTGTTTAAATTCTGGAGAAAAAACTCAGAATTACTCATCTGTTGATTTATCTATTATACACCAAATCCATGGGAGTTCAGTAGATTTTTTACATAAAGGCGCCAACATTTCAAACCCATATTTGCCCTGGTACATGTAAACTGATACTGATATAAGGCTGATTCTATGTGGAAACATTTTAACCAAATCTGAATTATCTTGGTATATAGACCATATTCACACCATGGTCATTGCTGTTGGATAACAAGTCTCCTTACAAAAAAGTTCCAAAACGTCATTTATGCACATCCGTTTCAGATTCGTTATGACCGATTATTTGTTGACTCAAATTGCGTATTTAGAACATTTTGCAAAAAGTGCCTTGTTATCTATCAAACAGCAATGGCCGCGATGTGAATAAGGTCTATTAATATTCATATGTATTGGATGTCTTTCCAACTCTCCTGGCTGCACAGTTGTTCATTGTCATATTGGCACCCAATATAAATTTGCAAAATTTATTTTGTGCTTTTTAGTATCTATGCAAGTATGTATCCCCAAACTGCACTGACATAGAGGAGAATTGAGAGGATTTTACAATAAACAATTTCAAATGCGATATTTATTGTTAACCCAGTGAACCTAATTTCTGGAGACTATAAAGTGCTGTCTTGGCCTGGTCAGAAATATATTTTTGTGCTTTGTACCATATACCAGAGCTGGAGAATATTACCCCCTAAATAATTATATTTTGAAAACACCTCAGTTTTTGTTCCTTCCATACCCAATTTTCACTTTGTTTTAATCTCCCCTTTCCAAAACT